GCAATCTAAGTCCTATTTGTAAAAGAAAGATAGATATTTCTGAAATTTCCTTCATATTTACAAATACCATTAAAGGAGGTGTGGAAAGAATTCAGATCCCAGATGACCTGCAAACTAATGATTGACTCTTTTTAAGTTGAAGGGAACTGTCATCCTCCTATTAACATCCATGCAAAGTGTCCTGAGTGAATTTTCTTCAGATCCTATGGCTATTCTGTAATAACTCAGAAATATCTTCCAAGTCTCAAAAATCAGGAATATGGTTACAGGTGTTAGATATCAGCAGAAAGAGAGTTCAGGGAAGAGGCACAGAAGGTGCATTACTATTAGTCCACCCAAGAGCTGCTGTGTGGTACTCCTGAAGGGGACAGTGCTTTGTGTATTGAAGAAGCTGATTTATGACTAGGTGTTTGTTCTCATCCATCACTCAGGACCAGTTCATGGAAAAATCAGTGGGTTTAGGCACATTCCACAACAATCTTTGGGCTTTCATAGATATGTTTCTAAGTGACCCCAAGGATTCTCTGGGTTCAGGAAATCCTTAGGTTGCTCTGAGCCTACAGTGATGTTGCTTCTTGAATAAGGATAATTTTTCTAGTTTCTTCTCAAGAATGAAAGGTGAAAATATCATTTGTAGTACATAGCAGAACCATGGATCAAGTAGCACTGTTTTCTATGACAGTATTCAAGTCTGTCCTCACTAGTTAAACATTTATGCTGAGGAACTGTGGGAAATAGTAGCAAATGATAGAAAAGTAACACATGAAGGATCACAAATTGAGCAAAATGTGGGCCCATTTAGTCTCCATGTATGAAAGCACCTCCATTTTCACATGGAGTCAGGACTTCAAGTGATACAGGTTGCTCACATCACGTATTATATGTGTATGTATTGTTTATTTCTTCTCTTTGAATTGCAGTTAGCAAAGTTAATGCTGTAAATCTCATTTTTTAATTCTGTGAAAATGGTTATGTAAATTGTCTTTTTAATTTCAAGAAATGCCTACTCAAAACACTTCACAGGTGAACACATAATGCTTTTTTAACCAATAACAATTATTTGAGTGAGTTAAAGATCTAGTTGTTTCTTATCTGTTGTATGTTCTCTGACAACAGGATATTCTTCTATATTAATCCAGTATATCTTTGAATTATACTATTCAAAATAGAGAGTACCTACATTAGAAATATCAATTAATTCTCTAGAGACATACAAGTGGTTTGACCTCAGGTGTCTGGAGACACTGGGCTTGTGCTAAGTACTGGGATGAGTAAGCCTCGAAGCTGTGACCAGTGCTAACTGATTTCAATGATTTGAATGCTGTCACTGCACAGCCTTGGGTACTTCTTCATATACCAGTCATAACCTGTGCCATTGTCATTGTAGTCAGGATTTAGCATGGCCATGAGGACCCCTGCTCAGTTTCGTGGGTTCTTGTTGCTCTGATTTCCTGGTAAAATAAACTAAACTGTAAATTTTACTGTTATACTGTGACTAGTGCTGGCTGGAATTTTGGGGGATGTCCTCTTTTATCATGCTTACCTATGTGGATATACATTATGTCTCCACTCCTAGGTGCCAGATGTGATATCTAGATGACCCAGTCTCCATCCTCCATGTCTGCATCTCTGGGAGACACAGTCACCACCACTTGCCGGCCAGTCAGGGCATTAGAAGTAATTTAAACTTGGTATCAGCAGAAACCAGGCAGAACTATTAAATGCCTGATCTACTCCATATCCAATTTACAATCTGATGTCCCACCAAGGTTCAGTGGCAATGGGTCTGGGTCAGATTATTCTCTCACCATCAGCAGCCTGGAGTCTTGAATCCTTTGCAGTCTATTACTGTCTACAGTACAATGAGTATCCTCTTACAGTGATTCCAATCATAACATAAACCCTAGCTGCTCCTCCTCATGAGTCACCCATTGAAATTGTTTCTCAGATTTTACAGGACGTTTAGTAAAGGTCATGGAGAGTCATTTGTTTTGTTAGAAGAAACTAAATGCTTCCTTCTGTACCCTAACTTCCTCTTCATCTCCAGCAAGACAGAGTACCAAATGTATTTTCTGCCTTAACAGAGTATACAGTCATTACATGTGAGGAGTTATATCCTCAGCTGAGGCTCATAGAGAAAAGAAGAAGCTTCTACAGACTTTCCAAGCACACGTTATTTAAATACAAAACAGGAATTTCTAAATCTCAGTATTTAAGGAGTAAAGAAATATTACTTAGGGAAACTTAGAGTACAGTGTATTCTTAGTTTTTGGATTTCACATAAAACTAGATCCCATGTGTTAGGTGAAAGGGAAGGCTACCTGATCATCATTCTTTGCTGTCTCTCAAAATTTGAGCAGTGGGTGCTGATGTTCCCAGCTGTCTGCAACAGCTCACGTAGGATTCTTCTGGCTCTTATGTCCACAGCTCTGCTTACAAGAATAAAACATCATTAAGCCACACTCATATGTCATTTAATCCCACTGAATAAAGTAGAATTTACTATATGAAATCATAGAGAAAATGGTTGTTTTAAAGAAGCTTCTAGAATTGACATCATTGAAAAACTGATATCCTGGAGCATAATTTAAAAAACAAACAAAACACCAACACAATAGAGATCTATACTCTTGTCCTTGTGTTTTCACAAATTATGTGTGTGTAATATCTATTTCCTGTCTCTTTACAATGTTCCAATTCATTGACCCACCTATCTGAGTACTGACCATTAAGCTAAGTTTTATTTTTCTTTAAACTTTTTTTTGTGGATTTCACACCAGTCACTCCAATTTCATTCATCTCTTCCTCTCTTCATCCCTCTTGTCGTCCACCCTTGCAAACTACCTCCCTACTAAAATACCTTGTCATGAAATCTATAGTCTGTCACAGTGTATCACACAGTATATACTTTTGTGTATACTTCTTTGCTGCCAGATGTTCATTACAATGACTTGTTGGCATGGTGAGAGAGCCCTCTGACTTCTGCTACTCTATCAATATTGGAACCGAACTGGGACACCTACTGGATACCCTGTTGTTCTGTGTCATGGAGATCTTATGGTTTTGGGTCTCTAGGACTGTCCTCATGTGCTCTAGCAGGTCATCAATGTGGTAGATATTGTGGTGCCCCAATTCACAACCCTGGGTCTAGGCCTGAGTGTATCTGATCTATTCAGCCCTGCCCTCTCACTCTCATGCCTTGTTGTAGGCTCCCCTGCAACCTCCACAGCCAGGGTAAGCTCTATCTTTCTGCCCAGGTGAGGTACTGGGCCCATTCATCCTAAAGATGTAGCTGGTGACAGATATGACCAATTCTTACACTCTCATGACTCCAGTAACTGCTCTCCTTCCTGCCATAGATTGTGAGGGATGAATGAGTGTAGATGGGTATCTCTTCCTTGTTTGAATCCTTTACCAGTAGGCAAGAGGCAAGGTGGGCTCTGATATGCTTTATGTCTTTGGGGCTGGCTCATGCACAATCCTGAGCAGCTCTAATGTGCTGTCCAGTTGAGATGCAGGGCCTACTGTCTCAAGTGCTTTGCGAGGTGTGAGTCAGAGGCAGCTCTCCTGTTTTTATGACCCCATTGAGTCCAATTTTCCTGTCCACTGCCATTGGCAAGTGCAAAGAGAGAGGAGGGGATCTCTCCCTCACTTATCCCACTGTACAGCAGAAAAGTTGCAGGGCCTTCTCTTCCACACTAATGCCCTCAGGGTAGCTCACTTGCAGCTAACATCCAAAGTCACCTCGACTCTGCTGCCCAGGTAACAAACAGGATCTGTTCTCTGGAGGTCTTCATCAGGTGAGGTAAAGAGCCAGATCTCTCACTGTGATGATGTTGGGACTAGACTTTCTGTCTGCTCTAGGTGGCAAGTGGTTAGATGGTACAGCATCTCTTTCTTGCCTATGCTATCACATGGCAGAGAAATGGAAGGGCTATCTTTTCCACGATCTGCCTCTCAGTCAAATTTGTCTGTTCCATGACACCAGGATAAGTTCTACAGTGCTGCCAAGGCAAGATGCAGGGCATGCTATCCTCAGTACTGCAGCTGAAGAGAGACAGGACAAGCTGTCCTGCTTTTAAGAGCCCAGAGCCAGAAGATGAGGGGTGGGGAGTATATCTCTCTTATGCATGCACTGTACAGGAGACAAGTTCTAAGGCAAACTCTTCCTATGCTTGCTTGTATCCTCTGGGTAAGCTCATTCAAAACTCCTTTAATGTGAGGGCCTGGGCTTTCCAGAGTAGTGCAGGTGGCTAGGGCAAGGTCTAGTCCTTCTACTATCATGTCCCTAGGGTCAGCTCTTTCATAATGCCCAGATGAGAGGTGAGGACAGTTCTACACAGCCCTTAGACATCAATATGTCCACAGGGCAGCTGCTGAGATTATGGATGTCTACATGGCCTGTGGTGGTAACAGACTCTTGTTTCTGCAGAGCCAGGGACCCAGACATCCCCCACCCTGCACAGAGGCAGCTTGGACCAGGACCACAACATAGTCCCAGATGGCATCACCAGCTCCTCACATCAGCCTGTTCCTCATAACCCTTGAGTCTCCAGTTCTGCCTCTCTTTGTTTTGCCCACATCCTTTTCTTTCTTCTTCTCTTCTAATTCTCCACAACTTACTTGCTAACTGTAGTGGTGTCTGTGGTCTCTGAGTGTCTGGGGTTGTATCAGGTGTCAGGAGTGCTATGCCCTGTTTGTGTATTATGGTTCTAAGCAAGGGTCATCTCAGGCATGGTCTTTTCCCCAGCTCTGCCTGGGGCTATTGTATTGTTCATCTGAGTCTAGCTCCTTGTCTGGGCCCTATGGTGCCAATCTGGTGGTCATGATGGGCTTGCTCCTTTCTCAGACTGCCCAAGTAGCCTGGTGCAAATGTTGTCACTTCTGCCCAGAGACCTCAGTTCTAGGCTGGGTTCTTCTAGTTTCTGGCTCCCTGTCCTGAGAGATGGGCCTGTCTATCTCCAGTAAGGTTGTCTTTTCTGGCCCATATTTTTTTAGGGAATGTTAGGCTACTAATCATTCACATGTTCATAGGTCAAAATACTAACCAGAGACATAGTCTCTCTCTTCTCTGACACCTACTGACACACATATGACACAGAAGTCACACCTGGAATGACTCCAGAAGGTGGGAGTACACAATAGTCTTGATAACTTTAAATTTATACAACAGAAGAAAATAAAGTCAGAAGATATAATTCCACATTTCTAGGCTTTAGATTTTCTTAGACATGGTGTCCATTGACTTTCTTCATACATTCTTGACAGATCTTACCAACTTTAGAAACTTTTTAGGGAGTATTGTTTGCATTACATTGAGTTTATTTGCAAATTTGAGATGATGTAATTTTAAAAGTCATTTATGAAACTGGAAAAAATGTCCAGTGCTTAAGAGCCTTTCTTTATCTTGATGAGAATATAGCTTTGATTCTCACCTACAGAGTGACACACAGATATCTTTAATTCTGGTTTAGTATTTGGATCCAGCACCATCTTTTGTCCTTTGCAAGCGAAACATGCATACATTTTTTTAAAAAAATTAGTTCACATTATAAACACAGATATATACTCTATTCACTTGGGTGTGCTTTATTCAGTTACAAAGGATATTTTCCTATCCTAAGAGGATGTAGAGATTTTATTGTAATTACTTGTAAATATTTATGAGAAGCCTATATGACTCTTCCATTCATGTATCCCGTAGCATTCATCAGGGCCTTTGCATATTACGTAGAGTAGACCACTGTTCCACATTGATACTCTGATATAAAAGTTCAGTTGTAACTTTGCAGTCACTGATTAGTATCTTCAGTCTACCTACTCAAAATGAAGTTGGTTAAGTTGTTCATGATGCTGTTGTTCAGGATTCCTGGTGAGAACACAGGGAAGTGAGAAAGGCAAATGTTTAGAGAGGGAGGATGAGCCCTGGGTCCCACTGCTGATCACATGTGTTCTTTTTATGTATGAGAAGCCTGGTCTTATCCTACAGGATAAGGCTTGTAAGGTCCACATCTGTCAGGAGTAACCAGATGGACAATAACCTGTGTTATGACAAAGTGTATGTTAGAGATGAACTGAATGGGATGCTTTGAGTTATGTCTAGAAGGCCCTTAGAGCTTTCATTTCATTTTTGCTGTTGTTGTTCTTGTTAAAAGAGGAATTTTAGTATATAAAGAATTGTTTATAAAAATAAACATCTCAAATGAAAGAAACGTTGAAAAAGCAATAGCAAATATTGTTCATGAAGTTTCTCCATAACTTTGCACTTCTTTCTCATGATTTTATTGTCCAGTGGTGATGCTGTGATGACCCAAATTCCCTTCTTCTTGCCTGTCAAAACGTTATCTCTTACAGGCCTAATCATACCCTCCTATATAGTAATGAATATACTTTTTCCATTGGTACCTGCTGTAGCCACTCCTGATCTACAAGGTTTTCAACCACTTTTCTGAGGTCTCAGACAGGTTCAGTGGTGGCAGGTACAGTACAGATTTTATATTCAAGATCAGCATAGCGCAGCCTGAGGATTTTGGAGTTTATCACAGCTAGTAACATACTCTTATTCCTCTCATAGTGATGCAGACCCTAACAGAAATGTCTTTCCTTGAAATGATCCAAGTGTGAACTGAGTTAGTTCTTTATGAGAAAGAGGTGCTAAGAAACTTCAGATCACTTGGTTACAGCTGAGGGCTTTAGAGCATGAGCTCATTGCCTACAGTTTAAGTGTCACACATTTCTGACCTTATCAGCTGCAGTAACAGTGATATTGCACTTGCCAGAGGAGAATAGTGAATAGATCCCCCCTCAACAACAATGACAGGGGTGAAGCTGAGTGAAAACGCTCTCTGATCCTACAGGACTTGTCTGCCTTTGTCAGTCAGCATCCAGTAACAAAAACAGGAAACTAAGACCTATTCTTTCATTAAACTGACTCCTTTAATAAATAATTTCATCATTCACCACATTTTATGCACTTAACTTCCATTTCATTTTGTTTATATAAATTTTGCCGGTCCTATTTCCCTCTGTTTTCTGTTTGTGTAAAGTATGACTTCTTAACTTTCAGAGTATGTCTTAACTTCTTAAGAAGTTTTTCTTGTCTGACCAAAAGCTGGTATCTTTTTTCTCCATCCTTTTCAGTCAATATTGACTGCATGTTTTTTTTTTCCAATTACATACACAATAATCATGCTATTACTTTCATGTTAATGTTTTCTATTTACTTTGAATAATTTTTCCTATGCCCCCATTTGTTTTAGATTTGATGTTTTTATATAATGATATTTGATTTTTTTTCACTTTTATAAGTGTTAGTGAATTTAATGCAAACTTATTCTCAAGATAAATTATCTTTAAATTCAGAAAGTGATTATTTTGCTCTCATTTTTGAAGCTTTCTGATTATCATACATATTTTTTTTTTGCTTGGTAGCAAAATTTTTCTCTTTTTTCTTGTTAGAACTTTGGCTATATTGCTCAATTCTCTCCTCACTGTTAGATTTATAAAAAATAAATTACCCCAACTCTACCTGCACTGGGGGCAGCTAGGTGTGTTGGCTCCCCCACTCCATGGCCATGCCTATCTACAAGGACAAATACTTTAACCAGGTACACAGGAAACCTTCTCTAACCAGGGACACAGGAGGCCAGTCCTAAGCAGAGACAGCACTGCCAGCTTCCCAAGAAACCTGTTCTAACACAGGTCATACAGCTTTACCTACCTCCAAGGAGTCCTGCTTCAGTCTGAAACTCCCAGGCCAATTAACATCATGGATAACCAGATGGTGAAAGGCAAGTCCAAAAACATAAGCACAGAAGCCAATGTAATTTGTAACCATCAGAATCCAGTTCTTCTACCACAGCAAGTCCTAGATACCCTAACACTCCAGAAGAGCAAGATTCTCACCTAAAATCCCATCTCATGAAGCTGATAGAGGCTTTAAAGGAAGATATAAATAATTCCCTTAAACAAATACAGGAAAACCCAGGCAAACACAAAGAAGCCCTTAATGAGGAAGCAAATAGTTCCCTTAAAGAAATACAGGAAAATACAATCAAATAGGTGAAGAGATTGAAGAAATATGTCCAAGATAGAAAAATGGAAATAGAAACAATAAAGAAATTACATATGGATTCAACCATGGAGATGAAAACCTAGGAAAGAGATGGAGAAACCAAGGTATTCCATGACAAAAATCACATTTTAAAAAATATTTTTTCTACTAATAGAGCCCCACAGAGGATAGTAGAAGGAAAGCTTCAACACAAAGTGAATAACTACACCCAAGAAAGCATAAGGAATTAAATATCTCAGAACAAATAAAAAAGAAGATCATCATACATACATAATACCACCTCCCAAAACAAAATAACTGAAACTAACACTCATTGGTCATTAATATTAGTTAATATTTGTCAATATCAATGGACTTAATTCCCCCAATAAAATGACAGACACTAATAGAATGAATACATAAACAAAATCAATCATTCTGTTGCATTGATGAAACACATTTTAGTAACAAAGATAGATACTACCTCAGAGAAAAGGGCTGGAAAAAAGATTTCCAGGCTAATAGTCCCAAGAAACAAGCTGGAGATTATCTAATATTCAGTAAAATAAACATTTAACCAAAAGTAATCAAAAGAGATGGTAAAGGACACTTTGTACTCAACAAATGAGAAATCCTCCAAGAGGAATCTCAATTCAGAACATTTTGCCCCAAATGCAAAGTCCTCCACATTCATAAAAGAAACTTTACAGAAACTCAAAACACACATTGAAACTCACACATTAATACTGGGAGACTTCGCCATACCACTCTCACCAACAGACAGGTCATTGAAACAGGAACTTCATAGAGATACAATTAAACCAAGAGAAGTTATGAACCAAATAGATTTAGTAGATATCTACAGAACATCTCATCCCCAAACAAGAGTATATACCTTCTTCTCAGCACCTCATGGAACCATCTTTTATGCTGACCATATACTTGGACACAAAATTAGCCTCAACAGTTACAGGAGAATTGACATAATACCATGCATTATATTAGATCAGCATGGACAAAAACTGTACTTTAATAGGAACAAAAACAACAGTAAGCCTACATAATAATGGAAACTAAACAACTCTCTACTCAATTATAACTTGGTCATGGAAGAAATAATGAAAGAAATTAAAGACTTAATAGAATTCAGTGAAAATGAAGGCACAACATACCCAAATTTATGGGACACAAAGAAAACAGTGCTAAGATAAAATTTGATGCCACTGAGTGCCTTCGGAAAGAAATTGGAGAGATCTCACATTAGCAAATTAACAGCATACCAGATGGCTTGGTTTCTGTTGTTATGTCACCCTTTTCAGTTCTGATTTTATTAATTTGGATACTGTCTCTCTGCCCTGGGTAGTCTAGCTAAGGGTTTATCTATCTTGTTGATTTTCTCAAAGAACCAGCTCCTGGTTTTATTGATTCTTTGGATAGTTCTTTTTGTTTCTGTTTGGTTGATTTCAGCCCTGAGTTTGATTATTTCCTGCCGTCTACTCCTCTTGGGTGTATTATCTTCTTTTTGTTCTAGATCTTTCAAGTAGGTCATCAAGCTGCTAGTGTATGCTCCCTCCAGTTTCTTTTTGTAGGCACTTAGAGCTATGAATTTTCCTCTTAGCACTGCTTTCATTGTATCCCATAGATTTTGGTACGATGTGTCATCATTTTCATTAAATTCTAAAACGTTTTTTAATTTCTTTCTTTATTTCTTCCCTTACCAGATTATCAAGGAGTAGGGTGTGGTTTAGTTTCCATGTGAATGTGGGCTTTCCATTGTCTTTGTCATTTTTGAAGACCAGCCTTAGATCATGATGATCTGATAGGATGCAGGGGATTATTTCAATTTTTTTTATATCTGTTGAGGCCTGTCTTGTGCCCAATTATATGGTCTATTTTGGAGAAGGTACCATGAGGTGCTGAGAAAAAGTATATTCTTTTGCTTTAGGGTGAAATGTTCTATAGATATCTGTTAAGTCCATCTGGTTCATAACTTCTGTTAGTTTCACTGTATCTCTATTTAGTTTCTGTTTCCATGATCTATCCATTGCTGAGAGTGGGGTGTTGAAGTCCCCCACT